AAAAAAAAAAAAAAAAAAAAAAAAAAAAAAATTTAAAGGCCTGGTGATGTAGCTCAGCAAGAAGGCCCTGGGTTCAGTCCCCAGGACCACATGCACAGATTGCATCCCTAGGTAGTTCGTCCAAGGGAGATGAAAATACAAATCCACACAAAGATGTGCACCTGTAGGGCTGGGGGCATAGCTCAGAGGTAGACTGTGGGCTCAGCACGCACAGGACCTGGGGTTGATCCCCAGGGCCCCTCCATTCCATACATGCATGTTTACAGCAGACAAAAAGTAGAACCAACCCAAATGTCCATGAACAAAAAGAAAAACAAATGGATAAACAGTGTGATACAGCACAAAGAACATTACCTGGCTGCAAAGACGAGGAAGTCCCGATAGGTGCTATAAGAGGGTGGACCCTGAACACACACCAGGTGAGGACGGGGCACAGAATCCCAGGAGTCCTGTGTCTGTGTTCACAGGAAGCACCCAGCATGAAAAATTGGACAGAAGCTTTCTTTTCCTCGATAAACTTTTTCTACTCAAAAAAAAAAAAGGACATCGAAAAGCTGGTCTGTGGCTGCCTGACTGGATGGGAGCAACCGTGGAGGCACGCTTTGAGATGAAAATGTTCTGAACCCAACTGTGGAGATGACACACCATCAACTAAGGCCATCACACACTAAACGGGTGACTCATATAGGAGTGGGTGGTTCCCAGGAAGCGAGCAGCAGGTGTGGAAGGCCGGGAGAGGCAGGCATTATCACACGGCACATGACAGACACACAACACAGGAGGACACATGGCGCTGGGAGTGCTGAGATCCGGTCAGCTTTAAGATTCAGGCCCAGAGGCATGGGGTGCGTGCTTGTAATCCCAACACTTGGTGGCTGAGGCTGGAGGATCCCCGAGAGTCGGATACATAGTGAGTTGGAGGTCACCCTGGGCTACATAGTGATACTCTGTCTCAGAAAACCAAAGTGGGGGAAAAAGGCTTAGAAAAAGGAATCAATTGGCTATACTGTATTAAAATATTGTTTTAAACTCTGAAACTCTGCCTGAGGAGAACCACTCAGAGATGTCATCCAAATCAGCCTGGGTCAGTGGCCCCACATCCTCGTCCCCCAGCTGCAGGGTCTCAGTGACGCTAGGCGGCCTGAGCTCGGGCAGCTTCTCACCCCTCCCCTGCCTTCCCCACTGTGTGGCCCCCTGAGAGCACCCCCAGGCCTGTGCCCCCCATCTGGAAGCCCTTCCAGGCCCCCATGTTCCACATGTCCAGGGCTTCCTGCAGACCTGCCTCTCGCCTCCCAGCTGCATCCACTTCTGTCCCCACCCTGCCTGGGGCTTTCCGTGGCTCCCTCAGCCTTCAAAATGGGAGACCTCCCCGAAAATGGCCCTCCAGCTCCTTCCTCCCAGAAGGAAGCCCGCAGCCCCACCCCCATGCTGTAGTGGCCTTGGCTGCTTCCTGGCCGTCACCTTCCCCCTGCAGGATTCCCTGGGCTCCTCCAGGGCCACTGCGACTGACCTGCAGCCGGCCTCCTTGGCTTGGCCCAGCGAGAGGGGCCAAGGAGTGAGGGTGCAAGAATGGGTCCCAAGAACGGGGGTGCCCCCTGCTCACTTGGCTCTCCAGACCCAGGGGACCCCGATGACTCCACTGCGGAGGGGGAGGAAGAGGAGTTGCTGGCGACGCTCCCGGGAGCCATTGGAAGAGCAGCTGCCGCGGCCATCTCTCCTGGGGGGAGGCAGCTGCTGCCCACTCGCTTTTTGTATTCACACAGCCCCACCCTCCCATCAGCCCTGATTGGCATCGGGTGGGGATGCCCCGAGCGCAGATGGAGGCAGAAAGGTTAGGTCCCTGACCCGTGCGGCCACAGGTGAGTCTCTGGCCTCCCTGGGCCTCGCGCACCGTGAAATGATGAGTGCTGAGTGCTCGTTCCCTGCCTCGAGCCGGAGTGGCTGCCAGGGAACTGGGGGCACCTGGGAGGCCCTGCGGGTACGGACACCTCCAGGCCCAGCCTCCACCCGCCTCCGTCCACAAGGAGGAGCAGCTGGATGCGGATCAGAGCAGTCTGCTGAGTCGGGAGGGGCAGAAACAGCCCTGCAGTGGGGCAGAGTGACAGGGAATGTTAAACGGGGCGAGGCTGTGTTTCACACCCACAGAACTACAAATATTTAAGTGTCTGTCAGTGCTGACTGTCAAGGCTGTGTCAAAATGCACAGCAGCTAAGAGAGAGCTGGCAACTGCCGCAGGAAGCCACACAGCCGAACACCTCCCCTCTGACCCCCTCCCGGGTAGATGAGGCCGGGCACTGTGATTCAAATGCCTGTCAGATGGAGGGGCCAGCTGTGGCCTGGTCACGTCATGGAACAGTATACAGCTGTGAAGATGACGCAGCAGACAGCTTGTCCCACTCAGAGAAGACAAAGTTCACGTGCTGTGTGCACACGAGTGTGAAGCCATGGGACCTGAAGCGTTCGTGCCAGGGAAACGGCAAGGTCAGTCTGGAAGAAGGTACTGGACTTAGGGGGTGGTGACTAAGATGCATCTTTTTCCTTTCTTTACTGCTGGCGTTATCCCTGAGTACTCACCATCCCTGAAGTTCCAGTGACTCTCAGTGCCCTACCGTGAGTCAGTCCTCCTTCCCTGGCCTGGCACCCTGCATGGCATCCTGTGCTCTTGGCAAAAGTTTGAGCCCTTCAGCCCGGCTCACAGAGCCTCCTCCACCCTTGAACTCCACAGTGTAACCACACTGAACTCCCAGGGTGGCTGTGTGCCCAGGCTGGGCACTGCCCTTTGTGCTTGCCCTGAGTGTTAAATTGATAAAAAGATAGTCCTAGCTTTGCAACCCAGCCCACATCTAGGCCGGTGTGCAATCATGGCTGCTCCTGCCATCCGTAGATCTGAGTGGGCCTGTGCCTTGCTTTAACCAATGCAATGTCGTGAGAGCAGACATGCATGGGTCCCATGCCTCAGCCAGACCTCTGGGTGACCACAGATGAGTCCAACAGGGGTTGTCCAGTCTTGGCCCAGATCAGCAGGACCCTTGGTTCACTACAGAGTTATGCAACACGAGGGTTCCTGCTTTAACCAGGAGTTCTGGGGCTTTTCGTCAAGCAGCATAAGCTAACTGATACACCAGGCCTAGAGGGTGTCCTACACCCACACCTACCCTTCCAGGATATTTCTGACCCACTCTCCGAGTCTTCCATTATGTTTCTTCAGAAAAGTCAGAAAAGCCATGGGCACTGCAGTCCCTGGACTACTCCCCAGGAGCCTCCAGCACCTCAAGTCACTGCTCTACCTTCCCTGTCCCCCACCCTTGAGCCTGGGGGAGGGCTGTGTCTTGTTCCTGGGAGTATTCTCAGTGACAGGCATACAGTAGGTGCTCAATTGCTGTGTAGCAGCGACGTTTGAGGGCCAAAGCCTAGCCTAGGTGAGGGATGGGGAGCCTGGAAACTGCTGCTTGCATCTCAGGGAGCAGGAGGCGGCCGAAGCAAAGAGGCAAATAGAAGTTGGCGCATACAGGGCAGCAATTTTGATTGAATTGGTGGGGCGTTTCCAAGAACTGAGAAACACAGAAATACTCTGTGAGGTAAACATTCCCACGAACGTCAGCCGAAGCCTTGCTCCCGGCCTGTGCCAGGATTGAGCTTTGCATTTGGAGGGAAGCAGTTCTAAAATGTGCTGCACGAGCTAAAAATTTCTTGGGCTTTGCCACTTTGCTGAGAAATGCTAATGGCAGACACAGGCCAGAAACCTTTCTGTTCCTCCTGGCTTGGAACATCCCTGGCCCCACCTGGGGCGAAGATCATGCTTCTAAGCCTCTGAGGCTGTCACAGGCATCTGTCTGCCCTGTGTAACCCCAGCCCCATCACACCAGGACACCTGTGATGGCAGAAGTGGTACCAGCTGCCAGGCTGTCTCCGTGTGCATTCGAAGTTGCCCACACTCACAACTTCCTGAATTCAGGCCCTGGTTGAAACCTGGGACCTGGTGGTGTTAATTAATATACAACTCCAAAACCACAGCAGCTGAAACAAGAAGCCAGGTGGCCACAGCCTTGTGAAACTGAGAAGTTGTGCAGTGGCTTGAGGGAACCAGTCTCTCTCTTAGGCCTTGCCATTCTCTGACTTAAGATTCTATCTCATGATCTAAAGTGGCTGCCACAACTCTAGTCATCACGCTGACATTCCAGCCAGTGTGCAGGAAAGAAGGCAAGAAGTGGAGGATAACTCCTCTGACATGTACACCCCAGAGGCTGTCTACATCTTTCTAGAAGACACCTCAGTGATCAGACCTTAAAGTCAGGTCCCCACACGTGCAAGGGGAGCTGGGACAGGCATGCTGACATGTTCTGGACAGCTAGGTGCCCAGTGGACACTTGGAGGACTCTGGAAAGGAAAAACAGGGTTGGGGGCCGGGGATTTGGCTCAGTGGTTCTGCTCCCTGCCTCGAAAGCACAAGGACTCGAGTTCACTCCCCAGTGCTAAAAAAAGAAAAGAAAAACAGGGTTGTGGGGAAAGGCAGCCCTTGCTCTCCCGTCCCAAGTTCCCCTAGTTCCCGTCTGCCTGCCTTTTTCCACGCCAGGGCTGCCTCCTGTGCGCTCCATGCGTCTGTGAGGGAATTCACATTTATTGAGCGTCTATTGCGTGCAGATCCTTTACGTGGTCGTCCCCCTGAATGGGCAGATCCCCCCTTTCCAGCTGAGGGGCTGGAGGCCTGCAGTGGTCCAAGGACCCACGGCCCCCCACTCTCTCTTCAGGTGTCTCAGGTGGTGAGGGTGCATCTGTCTACAGAATAGATGGCTCTGCATATGAGGCTGCCTAGGTCACAGCCTGGAGGCCACGTCCTCTGCTCCATCTGGAGTCCCCAGCACACGTGGGCCAGGGTGTGACCTCCATAGGCTTGGCCCAATGGGTTGTATATGGCAGGGGCCCCTTAGACCTGTCTCTAGTTTGGTGACAAGTGGGCTCTTTCCTGCACCACATGGTCAGGGCTGTCAGGAGAGCACCAAGGTCCCTTTCTCTGGGCACCAGGCTGGGCAGACACCACTCAGAGGCACTGGACTGGGGCTAGACTGTCAGGGCAGGCCAGGACTGAGTGGCCTAAATGCCACGGTCCCACCACTGTTACCTAGGCCCACACAGCCTGTGAAATGGACGGTGAGAGCACAGGACTCTTCTTTCTCATACCCCAGGTTGGGGCTGGGTCTAGCTGTGCTGTGGGCCTCACAGGCTTAGAGTCCATTCCCTCTGGGCTCATGGTGGCAACCTGCCTCCCCCACTTCAGACCACCTGACTTCTGTGACTTGATTCTTTGTTTTTGTTTTTTTTTTTGGTACGGGGATCAAACTCAGGACCTTGTGCTTGCTAGGCATGTGCGGTGCCACTGAGTTCTAAATGCCTCACCCTTTCTCTCTCTTTTTTTTTTTTTTTTTTTTTCT